CTGACTCCCATGTGACTCAGCCCTAATTTGCATGACCCCGCCCCCACACCCACGTCTCGGACCTTATCAAGCTTTCCCCCAGTGTTCCCACACCGGTGGTGGGCGGCCACGCTGGCACAGACCCTCGTCGGTCCCGGTGTCCGGCCGGAAGCCCCAGCTGGGCCGTGCAGCTGCACAGGGGAGGGGCATCAATGCCGCCTTTCATGGAGTTGCCCCGATCGGATGTGTATCATTGAATCGCTGGTTGCCCTGGGCCACAGAAAAGGTATTGGGCCTTTATAAAATGGAGCCATGTTAATACAGTCCTGAATCGATACTGCTGCTCAGAGTTAATAAGAGAGACGAGTGGGTGGGGGGGGGGAGGAGGCGCAGGAGGAGGCCCTGGAGGTGGTGGTGTAGAGAGGATGAGCTGGGGCAGCTTTGCAGAGATCTGTGGGATGTCTGCTGGTGGGGGGTGGAGTTCCCCCCCTCCCCAGCCAAGAGCAGCTGCTGCTTAAATATTTGCAGCAGTAGCAGCAGCTGTGTGAGAATAAAAGGCAGCTGGCTGGTATCGGGGTCCCTGTGTTGGCCTGGTGGGGGCGCCGTCATACCGGCACCCTGCATTCCCTGAACGTGTGACTGGTGACTGGAGGAGTGACAGAGCGTGGTCTGTCACTGGAGATGTCGGGGTGTGCTCTGGCTGCTGGGGGGGGGGTGGTGTCCTTGTGTGATTCACTGTCTAAACAGGCCTGTGAGTTATGCTGGACGTGCTGTACTGATTTTGCTTCAGCTTGGGAGGAACGCAAAGACAGACGTGCACTTTCAGAGGAGCTTCCTTTCCCTGGCTGCACCCCCACATCCCGACCCACGGGGGGGGGCAGAGGGCCAGGCGCGTGCGGGGTTAATGATGCAGCTGCTCCCTGGATCTGCTGTGGGGGTTGGGTGGGAGGAAGGCTAATAAATTGAGCCCCATCTTCCACCCTTAAAATCACCCTCTCAGTTTCTTTTGTTATCCTATGAAGCAGATGGGGGGGGTGAAAGCGGGGAGTCAGAAACAAAGGCGGGGCCTGTAGCCGAGGCAGATGGGGCAGATGGGGCAGCTATGGTCACCCCCCCCCCCCCCCCCAGAGGCGGTGTGAAGCGCAGGGTGACCATCCTTACAGCGTGCTGGGGGGGCTTCTGGGAAGGGGGCCACAGGAATGCGGGCGTCTCTCTTTCGGTGCGAAGCCTCTGTCACGCGGGCTGCAGCTGGAGCTGGAACGGGGGGGCTGCCAGGACACCCGCCTGATGGGGGCGCTCTAGCTTTGGGGAAGGATCCAGGGGGCGGTGTCATGCAGCCCGTAAGACCTGGTTAACGGGAAGCCCCAGGTGGTCATGTGATGGGAGCTTTGCTGCATGGGGGGGGGAGGGGTCTGACCAGAGACCCCCCCCCCGGAAGCTTGTGGCTGAGGTTGCCCGGCGCCGCACAGGCGTCCCATTCTGCCAGGTCACGGCGGCACCAAAACAAACATGTGCTCTCCGTGTAAATGTTTACATGGCCTTCGGCCTCCCCCGCATGCAGCTGGCTGACCCCGAGTCAAGTTTGGGGGGGGGGGGCACCTGGGTGGAAAATATCAGGACTTTCGATGTGGGATTAAGTCGTCTGGAACATATTCTGTCGAGTGAGAGCCCCCCCCC